AATTATAATTCCACTCCCTCCCCAGAAGAAACAAAACAAAGCTGCTTGGGTCAGACTAGCAATCATTAAACGAAAAAGAACTAAATAATAATTTAAAAATAGAGAGAATGTGTTCAAACGAAGCAAGAAAGCATTGCTCATAACCACTCTATCGTCTCCAAAATAGAAATCTTTCCAATCTTCGCCTCTGATTCAAACTGAAAACTCCCCTAGTTTTTGAAGCAAATAATTCCACGTTAAGTCCATTTCCAAGTAGAGCCAGGTGGTACTTTTCTCCTCAATACCCCACCGTGGCAACTTGATTGTGACCATCGATTCATCCTAATTACCAGGCGCTCTCGCGGCTCTAAACTGAAAGATTAAAAAGATTTTGCCCAAATTCAGGGAAATGAAGGTGCGTGGGCTCACCCTGCAACTTTCAACCCCTACAGTCTCTCTATAAGACTCTCCACGTGTACGGATGCCCTGTGGGTCTCCAGAGAGTGGGCGGGGAGGGGCCCTGCTCTTGCGCTCATCTCTCTGTACTTCTCACGGGAGTGTTTATAGATAGGTTAGCAAAATCCGTGGGCGTATGTTCCCATGCAACCCCAGGAGCTTCCGTGTGTCGCCGCCATAGTAACCAGTTCAGAGGATGTTTAAATGGAATGTACGGTGAGACAGGGAGGAATCGGTCGCGCGTGGAAAAATCCCGCGTGTGACAGTAAACACAGAACTCTGTTCCCAAGGAGCAGAATGACTCAAGTTTGTCTTCCTGGGTGCAGAGAGGTTTAGTAAGCCCCCGGCTGGCCGTCGCCACCAGCAATCGCGATACTCAGTCGGATGTCAGGGACCAGAAGAACTGGACCGCAAACCAAAGAAACCAGCTTTTTTCTGGAGCAAAGGGCGGGTCTCGATTACAAAGTAAAAAAATAAATAAAAATAAGTGTGGAAGGTGTGGGGGGGAGTTTGGGGGAGTAGAAAATATCAGGGAGCAGGGAACCGAACTTTGCAGCTGAGACACAACTTTGACCTCGGCACTCAGCGGGTGCTTAGGGACCTGGGACCCTCTTAGCGCCTGGGCGGCCACCTCGCTACCGGCCGCGCCGCCCCCCTCCCCCGCCGTTTCCTTTCGCTCTCCCAACCCCTTCCCCCACATGTGGGTGACGTCAAAATTCCGCGAAAAAGCCGCGTGGTGGCTCCCCAAGCAGAGGCGTGGTTCCGTTGCCCCGCCGTCCCCTCCCGGGGGCGACCCGGGGAGGGAACCAAGACCCCCGACGCCGCCGGCCCGACGCCCCCACCCCAATCCCGCCAGATCTTTCTAGCAAATTCACTTTTAAAAAGTAAATGTGTTTCCAGGGCTATTTTCGGCCGGGTGAGGCGTGTCCAGAAGCTGAATCAGACAGGAAGACGAGGAAGTTTGGGTCTTTAATTTTTTTCTTCCAAAGGAGAGGTGCGAGGTGGGTGAGCCAACTGCAGGCCCTGGCTTCTGAACCTCCTCATGTGCCGCCACAGGGACCTTACGGGCGTCCAAGCTGAAACCCACCCGAGGGTCGCTGGAGTGCACAGGGCTGGAGACTGTGTTCATCAGTCTACTGGTCTGCTGTCGGGGAGGGTCCCGGATACGCTTTCCCACCTGGAGCTGCTTGGTCTCCGCGTGGAAGCCTCCAGTCCTGGGTCCTTTGCCCCCTCTTTTCCGGACTTTTTTCCCCCAACTTTTCCCCACCCCCACCCACCTTCTCACATTTTAAACCTATTTTTTTTTATGTTTCCCTCACTCCTCTTACTGAGCCTTTTCTCACTTAGCTCTACAATGGGCAACTGTCGAGTTTTTGGAGTTTGAATTGACGTCGGTGGAGTAACACAAACACAGCTCTATTCTTTGTGGGAGTCAGAGAGGAGGCGATGACCCCCCCCCCCCCCATTCCTGGACCAGAATGTCCAGGTGACAGGATTCGAACCAAGGACTCCCCAGCGTGTGGCCGAGCGCAGGATCACCTGGCTGGCTGGCATCCGCCAGGTGAGCGTATTAGAATGTGTGCCTAGGTGGCAGGTTCATGCAGAAATATGCCTATAAACACCCAACCCCCTACTGCACCTTACACCTACAGGCTTTGTATACTTTCCAACCGAAACTGCTGGATGCAAAAAGGAGGGGGTGGGGGGGACACGTCCCGGAGAGACTAAAAGTCCAGTAAAACTCGCGTTTGGTTCAGGTTTATCACCGATCCTACCCGGTAAAGGATCTCTCCACCTTCAGGGGTCATAAAGAGGGAGGAGGAGAACTCTTATTCTTATTGCACCCCCCCTCCCAGCAGAGCACACTGGCGCTTCTTCTGCACACCCAAGTCCACATTCAAGAAAAATAAGTACATTTGCCCCTATGGCGGTATGTCCTTTACCGCGTGCTAGCTAGAGAGAGCACTTTTTATTTAAAAAAAAAAAACGAAGAAATTAAGTTGTTTTTTTTTTTTTTAGCACGTGGTCAGAGTGGCGACCGAAAGAGAGAATGCAGTTTCCAGTCCCAACCTCTCAGAGACATGCTGCCAACCTCCGCACCCTCTCACGCCGCACCCCACGTGCTGGGGACAGATTCGGTGCGAGGTTCACCTTCGGGAACCCTCAGTAGTCGGAGGGGGAAGGAGATGGGGAGCTGAAGGAGAGAGCTTCTCAGGCTCCAGACATTGGGGCCTCCGTGCCGAGACCCTCTCCTCCCCTCCTTTGCCGTCCTCCCCCGCCGCAGGCCACCTCTCCCACCCCCAGAATCCCCTCCCCGCTGGAATTTCACTGCAAAGCCAAGAGTGGGGGGAGGGAAGAGGCGAGGGGCCCTCCGCAGGCTCTGGAGACTGGAGGACCCGCCACCCAGACTTTGTCCTCCGGGTGGGCGAGCCCCGACGACGACCACCCGCCTCTTCCCCGCCTCGGAGCTCCGGATGCTGTCTTCACTGGAGGTGTGAAGGAGACCCTGAAGGGCTAGCCTTCGAGTGGTGTGGAAAGACTGGACGGCCTCCAAGTCCTTGGTCGGGATAGATGGACACCTCCATTACACCTATGTCGCCCCGTACTTTGCTCCCCTGTCCTGGAGTTCTATCAGATCCGTTCCTCTGAGGTGGCCCTGGGGAACTTTTTAGTCATTGCTTTTATGAGGTCTTAAAACGTAAATTCACCTATCTGTCCAGGGTGACACCAAAAAGCTTCTATTTGGGAAGCCTGTGATTAAAAGCAACAGGTGATGGACAGTGCATTAGCCAAGAGTCATGTTGGTCGCGGGACTGTTTCATTTTAAGTTTGCAACTTGAGTTTTTCAATGAGTTTTTTTTTTTTTCTTCCCGAAAGCTAATGGCTTCCACTGCAATTAGACATTTTCCTCGCCCGCCCCTTCCCTCCCCTTTCTTTACATGCAGTAGATTGGATACTAATTCCCGCAGCCATTGATAAGGTCCGAGGCACCCGGGCCCCTCTGTAGCCCAAGCCCGCCCGGGTCCCCGCTCTCTCTCCGCCCTCCCCGGGCTTCCTTTTGATGTAGCGAGGAAGGCGTCCTACAAAAAAAAAAAAAAAGTAATCTGCCCGGTAACAATCAGCGCGCAGTAGCAGGAGCCCCAGAGCTATTGGCTATGCAAATAGAGGGAGGGGAGACGGCGCCCCAAACTCTTACTCAACCTTTTAAAGTGATATCCCCTCCCCCCCGCCCACCCCTTCCGCCCCACCCTCGTTTAAAGGGGCTGGCCGGGCCGGAGTTAATCGCTTGCACCTCGGCTTTATTGCCCCCCTCCCCTCCTGCGTTCTTCCTTTCACCTCCCCTCCCGGGCCTTTCTGGGAGCCCACGGGTGCAGCTCCCCCAAGCGCCACCCCCCAGCCTCCGCTAGCTGTAGGCGCCCCTGCTCAGGCCCCGGTTCTCAGGGAAGGAGGGACTCAGTGGCCCTTGGTGTGCCCAGAGCGCGGCAACCCACGCCATGCTATCTACACGTGCCAGCGTGGCCACCCTGCCGGGGGCCCTGAGTCCTTACCCCTTCCTCCCCAAGTGGAATACGCTGAAAAGCATGGTGGGAGGAGGAAGGAGGTGAGGAAGCACCGCCGTGTCCCTTCTACAAACAGCCTTGACCACAGGATGCGTTAGAGCACGTGTCAGGGCCAACCCAAAGTCCTGGCTGACAGTGAGGCGCGAGACCCCGCCGGGTGTAAGACTGAGGGGTGCACGACCCAGGAGTCTCCTGGTAAAGGAAGGGTGGCCTCGCTGGCGCGGGGAGAGCCAAACCTAAACCCTCCCTCTCCCCCTCCCTGGCCCCTCCCGAGCCATTTCCTAGAAAGCTGTATCTGTGTGGCCACGCTCGCGCCGACACCTAGGGCGGCTTGTCAGCAGAAGCAGGGGCGAGGAAGCGGGTTTTTCCTGCGTGGCCGAGGGCGGAGGAGGACCAGCTGCTAGCCCTGCCCCCGGCCTGCGGCGGTCCCGAGCGGCTGGCCGCGCCGCCCAATGGCGCCCCCAAGAACACGAGGATTTCTGCACGAGGGTCATATTCTCCCGGGTCTGAGGAGCAGCCCCCTCCTTCCAGCATCCACCCCTTCCTCCTCTTCCTCTCCATAGACGTGGCTTTGGGCTGGGAAACAACTTGAAAATTATCTGGAACCTAAGCTTCAGGGGCGTTATAACCTTTATCCCTGGGTATGCAAGGTTGCAATTTTCTCAAATAAGCCTTCCCTTATTCTTCAGTTAGGGGATCTACTTCTAAGTTGTGTGAGCTCGTCCACATGTTCTATCAATTTACCTTCTACCGCTGTATCGTGAATAGTGGCCAGTATTCCGATCACACTACAAGACCCCAAAGTTAGAGGGCAAACCGCCTCCCCATGGTATGGCTACAGAATGTAAGAAACGGATAGAGAATCAGTAGAAATCCGTGGGTTTTGTGGGTTCCCCTATCCGGGGCCCCTAGCATGCGGGCCTGGATAGGGGGAGAGGGCCTTGGAGAACTAGTGGGGGGGGGGGGCAGGCGGGGGATCGTGTTTGAAGTTTGGTCGGGCCAGCTGCTGTGCTCCTTAATAACAAGAGGGAAAAGGCGGGGGTGGGGGCTAGTGGGGGGAGGGAAGGGAAAGAGGGAGGGAGAGATTGAAAGGAGGGGAGGGACGTCAGGGGAGAGGAGGAAAGGGGAGGAGGAACCGGAGAGGGGGAGGAGATCCAGCTTGCGTCACTGCCTCAGAGTGAGAGCGAGCTGGGGAGAGCAAGGCAGTTCCGAGGGAAGGACTGAGCGAGGCAGGCAGCCCTTGAGGCTCTGCTCGCTCACCTTCCACTCTTCCTCCTTCTCTCAGTCAATCTCCCCGCCCCCCCCCCCATTTTCCCTCTCTCAAATTACCAATTTCGCCAAAGGAAGGAGGTTAGGGGAGCGCCCCCTCCCTCCAAAAACTACTAAAACTTCCACAGTCGGGACCGAGTGGTCGCCGGCTGGCCATGGAGCTGCTGTGTTGCGAGGTGGACCCGGTCCGCAGGGCTGTGCCGGATCGCAACCTGCTGGAAGACCGCGTTCTGCAGAACCTGTTGACCATCGAGGAGCGCTACCTCCCGCAGTGTTCCTATTTCAAGTGCGTGCAGAAGGACATTCAGCCGTACATGCGCAGGATGGTGGCCACCTGGATGTTAGAGGTAGGTGTGCTGGCGACGCTCTCAGGGAGAGGCAGTCCTACCTTCTTTAACCCCCCCTCCCCGCCCCAACACACAGGGACCCTAAAACTGTGAGGAGTAGCGCCGGCCTCCCTTCACTCGTGCGCGAGGTGGCCCCGCACCCTTAGACGAGACGCAGTTCTGTCCCTTGCTAGGTGAACTGGGGGAGGAAACGTGGGTGAGGCAACGATGTCGGGGGGTGGGGGGGATGGCATCCCGCGCGCGCGTGTCTGCGTCTGCATGTGGCTTCCTCGTCCTCCCATCCCCATCCTGACCTGTTTTGTGGAACAGCTGCCTTCAGTGGGGCCCCCGAGGGTGTGTGGACCTGAAAATCCACACCAACAGTGAAAGACAGTACCCCCCCTCCCGCCAATAAAGCTGGGGCAATACTGTCCTGGCCTCGGATCCCCTGCGTGTGGTCGGTACTCCGCGTTGGCACTTTGGAGGGGCAGTAGGGGGCAGAGAAACAGGGAATTCAGGAGAGCCCTGCAAGGCACACTGGAAAAACGTGCGTTTTAGGAGAATCTGAAAGAACCGCTCCTTAAGCCTTGTTTGCAGTCTTTGCGGAGAGAGCAGGGTGCCCACGTATGCACCGCTCTGGACCTGCCGTGGTTTCGCCATGTTGCTTTGCAAACTCCAATTGTAAGGACTGGGAACATTCGCCCTCTCCCCCAAGGACCCCATGTTCGTGACCACCCTCTTTCTGATCGTGCCCTCTCTCCCAGCCCCCAGTATACCAAGGTTACTTACAGTTTGACTGCTTCTTTAGCGCGCAGATTTGGGTGGGGTAGGAAGCGAGGGAGGAGGTGTGTGTAGAGCCGGCTAGGGGATACCCCCAAATGAGAGATCACTGTCCAGCGTGCCTCCTTGAGAGAGGTTCCCTGATTAGTCTCCCCCAGCTCCCATCTGGGGACAGCTTTCTTAGCTACTGCCCTTGTGGGCCGCAGCCGGACACTCCGCAAGTTTCCCCAGCGGGATCCAGAGCCCCTGGGGTGGAGATACCGACCTTGATGACAACCTCAAACCTCTATTCCGGGGAGCCGGGAGCCTCTCTGGGGTTTTCAGGCCCAAAGGACGTTTCTAGGCTTTTTCCTCGATTTTTAATAATTTTTTTTTGATGCGGTCCCCGGTGCTCCGGCTCCAGCTGCGGCGGCTGCGGCGCGCTTCCTCCTCCTCCCTCCCCCTCTCTTCTCCACCCACAGCCCCAACAGCGGCCCCTGGGCGGCCGAGACCACCCTGGACATTTTTTTCAATTGTCGGGAATGATAGAATAGGGTCTGGGGATCCGAATGAGACCAAGAAGTAGACCCTTGGGGCTTCCAGAATATTTTTATTGATTTTTTGAAAAGATGACGAAATCCAAAAAAGAGAGTGAGTGAGAGCGCGGAGAAGCGAGGAGCGGGAGGGAATGGCAGGCGGCTGCTGTTCTGGGCTTTGCCTTGGGGGGGGGGGGGGGCTTTAGTAAGCCACCCGTTTCAGCCCTGGGGGACTATCAGAGTCCCGAGGGCTCTTCGGATTTACCCTAATGTTCTCACCTCTGTTTTTACTGCCCTTTCTATTCCCCTCCCCCTCTCAATAAAAAAAATTTAAAAAAAATTTTTTTGGGTTCGCCACGGGTTATACTTTTTTAATTCCTTTCCTATTTTTCTGATGCATTTTTTTTCACGGTATTCTCGGACCCCATTTCACTCTGATTGTAGGTCTGTGAAGAACAGAAGTGCGAAGAGGAAGTCTTTCCTTTGGCCATGAATTATCTGGACCGTTTCTTGGCTGGAGTCCCGACTCCTAAGACCCATCTTCAGCTCCTGGGTGCAGTGTGCATGTTTCTAGCCTCTAAGCTCAAAGAGACCATCCCACTAACTGCTGAAAAGCTGTGCATCTACACCGACAACTCCGTGAAGCCCCAGGAGCTGCTGGTAATGATGCCCTCCCTGCTCCTGACTCTGCCCTCCCCCATCACTGTGTCTTCCACCCACCATCTCCAAGGTCCATCTTAGAATTCAGAATTGCCCAGAACCTCTGAAGCCTTCACGCTAACCAGGGGTCTCTTTTAGTAGGAGATAGCTTAGTCTTCCTGTGTCAGGGGGTGAACAAAACTCTCGATCCCTCATGGAAAATTGTGAGGGTGAAATTCAGTTCAAGAGAATGTGGGTGAGTCTTGGGGGGGGGGGGTATAGGATAGTTTAATGGTTTTTAATTAAGGTCTAGATTTCCACTGAACCCGAGAATGAGGTCTGAATTCTCACAAGCTAGCCGTGTTGTGTCTCCTAAGAGCCTGGAAGTATCATCACAGGTAATGTCTTACAGATCAATAAAGTTTCACAATATCAATACATATAGTAGCTGATCACTAAGTATCGGCATAGCAACGTTTATGTCAAGTCAGCATTTGGCCTTCTATTGGTGGGATCGGAAGGATGGGTTCTCAGCTCCAGAGGGGACTGTGATCTGGATACAGTTCCCAGACGGTCCTGTCCTGGCTCTGGTTTTCTGCCAGAAAGGCTTTCTCCACCATCTCCCATTTTTCCCCCCTCCTGCAGCTTTTCTTCCTATTGCAGCCACACACCGGAAACCTGCAGCTTTTTTGCAGCTTCTGGGACTCACCCTCAGTGGTTTGCACACCTTTCTCTTGCACTGCTAGACGAGGACCACCCCCTCTGTCCACTCCCTCCCCCTTGCTGGCATGGCCTGGGCCTGCACAAAGTCTTCTAGGCTGAGACTGGCTTCTTGAACTGAGCTCTTTGTGAGAAGCCCTCCTTTCTGGGCTTGTGCTGCCACCTAGTGGTAGACATGTGCAAGGTTGGGGGAGGAATTGCCGAGAATGCAGAGAGGGGCACGAATGACTTCACCTTTGAACCACTGCCAGATTTCAGCTGCTTCTGGTCTGGTCTGAGAGGCCCCTAAAGGTGCTTTCTTCTGGAAGATCCGCTTCTTTTAATAATGATGCCACAGGACGAGTTTGTGCTCACATTGCCCTAGAAGAAGGAAGAGCTGGGATTCAAGCCATCTCTGATTTTTGCCTAGTTAAGCGGATCTTTATCCCAACTTTCTGCTAAAAGCTAGGGCACACTTGAAAGCTTGTAAAAAAATAAAATAAAAAAAGATCAGAATTGGAGACCAGCTTGTTTTTCTCCCAAAACACATGAAAAAGAATCTTCCGTGTGGCTGATATGCTGGAGATTTGGGGTATTTTTCATGACACCCTAATTTTTCCAGGACCAGCAAAGCTAACTTAACTCTCTCCAAATAAAGCATGGCAGCTTTCCACCCCCTATCCAGAAGGCATGGGGTCTGGAAGAACCCTCCTATTTTAAAGATGAAAAGAGCTTGCTCCAGGACATACCATAGCTAGTTAGTGCTTTGTAGCCTACCCTTGAGCTTAGCGGATGGAAGAGTCAAGTCATGGCCAGCCAGGCTCTATCTGCCAGGCATCACTGGTTGCTGGTGACAGTTTTCTTCTGAATACACCCCCACATTCAGAAAAAAAGTAGAAAAACAAAAGAAACAAGGTCTTGCATGATTCAAGCTTGCCTCAGAGAGGCAGAAGCTCAGCCCCGCACCCTCAGGTGCAGATACTCTTACAGTTTTACTGTATTTAGTCCCGTTCATCGGAACATAATTTCCCTTATTTAGTGCACAAGAGGAGAGGCACAAATTTGTTTACTAGTGGGAGTGCTGTGAGCAGCCCAGAAGAGAGGAGGTGGCGGTGTCCCTGCACGTGGGCTGCCAAAAGTTTTAGAATCCTGTTTAAGCCCCTCCACCTTGCCTCAAATGACTGCAACGTGGGGTCGCAAGTGACCACCTCAGACTCTTGAGTCGCAAGGACAAAGGCCAGTGAGGAGTTAGGGGAAAGGGTGACGTGTCCTATCCCCAAGACTCCTGTATGGTGTGTCAAAGGGGAGCATTAGCAGCACAGACCAAAACTTTGTCCCACAAGTAAAAGCCAGCTAATTGGTTGCCAATGAGTTGGGCCAAGGAAGCTTTTTGCATTCCGAATCTGGAAGCATCACCTCCCCTCCCCCCCCCCCCCCCCCCCCCCCCGTGAGCAGTAAAGAGACTATTAGCCCTACAATAGAGACATAGCCAATAAATTATTACCACTGTGCCACAATGACCTTGACTAGATCTTGCTCTAGGTCTAGCTTTCTGGGTGGGCAGGCAGCAGCATTTTGTGGGCATCGGGGTCCTGTGGGTGGGGATAGGTAGATAGGTAGAAAACTAGAAGGACTTGGCAGCGGTTACCTGCCCTCTTCTTATCCTCGGCGGAGCCAGACATTTTCAGCATTCAGCACAAGAAGAGCTGTCGGCGACTTCAAAGCACGAGGGGCAAGGCGACAAATGAACTCCCCTCCCCCCGCACCCCATGATCTCGATCTGACAGCTGAGCCTTAATGAGAATCATTAAAGCAGGCCTAGAACCCAGCCCCTAGCCCCCAGCCCAGCTCTGGAGTCAGCCTCTGGATTTTTAGTGCTTTGCCCTTTTCCTCCCCCCCCTTCACAGGAGTGGGAACTGGTGGTGTTGGGCAAGCTGAAGTGGAATCTGGCTGCCGTCACCCCTCACGACTTCATCGAGCACATCCTACGCAAGCTGCCCCAGCAGAAGGAGAAGCTGTCCCTGATCCGCAAGCATGCGCAGACCTTCATCGCTCTGTGTGCTACCGGTGAGAGGGGGGGTTCCTGGGCTTGCACTAGGGGCCGGTGGTTCGATACCAACTGCTCTGCCCCTTTGGGTGTCCAGGCAAGTGGGCACGAATAAGCCAAGTCTGGGGTTTCGTTTCTGGCTTCTTCGCTGCTCTTTATCGGAACTAGAATATTCTCTTTCTCTGCTTCACTCATAAATGCTTTATGGGGACAGGTGTGGTAAGGGAAAAGAAATTGGTACCTGCAAAAATATTGTTTATGATGCCTGAAGTGCTCTTTGAAGATTATATAGACTGCTCACTGGTTGTGTTCAAATCTTTAATCTTTTGAGGAAAAGGATAGTTTGGAGATAAGCCTAAGAGGGAATTTAAGGAAGGTGGGGGCAAATATAGGTTAAAGGAACAACGACAAGATAAATACGCAGTCCGCCCTGATAAGTGGGAAAGAGTTCCTATTCACCAGGTTTCATTTATTGCCCTCTGGCTGCTCCTTCTGTTGAGAAGGGAGTAAACCTTTGAGGAAAGATTCATTTTCCAAGCCCTGGAAAAGATTTTGATACAGAACTGTTACTGCCCCACACCTGGGTAGAAGATGCTAGAATTGTGGGTCTCAATCTGTGGGTCACATATTAAATATCCTGAATATCAAATGTTTATGTCACGATTCATAACAGTAGCAAGATTACAGCTATGACGTAGCAACCTAACAATTTTATGTTTGGGGGTCACCACAACACGAAGAACTGTATTAAAGGGGAGCGGCATTAGGAAAGATGAGAACCGGGGCTCTAGGAGTTTAGAAGTCCAGGGGAGATGTGTCAGGAGTTCACTGCCTCAGGGTCAGAAGGTGAAGCTCAGTTCCCCAGGGGTTGTTGAACCGCCTAGTTTTGAGGGAGAGTTGGGGTGGGGTGTAACATTTTAATTCCTTGTAACACCTTAATTATGTGTTTGCATAGCTGATTGTGTAATGAACAATAGAGCCCCAGCTTTGTTTGAGGTTAAAAGGTCAGACAGACTTTGTTACTTATCACTGGGAGACCTTGCACATGCTCTTTCACCTCTCCCAAGTTCAACTCCATCTGCAAAACAAGCCTTTGGCTGCATCATTGCTTTAGCCTTTGTAGAAGGCATAGGAGAACTAAAGCCCACAGCGAAACATGCCCTGTGATTTATAAGGCACATGAATGGTACTAACTGTGAAAGTCTGAGACCCGAGCTTCTCCACTTAAGGTGGATATGTCTTTTCCTGCTACTGGACACAGGCTCCGATTGGCTTGTTTGTGGGATTCTACCTCCCACTTTTAGGGGTGTGTGTGTGTGTGTGTGTGTGTGTGTGTGTGTGTAGGATTCCTGTTGCTGCTTTAGTCCAGACCCTGGGGACCTTGGAGTTACCTGCCCTTCCAACAGCCAGTGTGCGGGGAAGGGTAGTGCACACAGAAGCCCCAGAAGCTTTGGCTTCCCTTTGGACAGCAGTCGCCTGTTCCCTGCCCTTCTCCTGCTCACTGGCCTGGACTCTAGAGGTCAGTTCCACATTGACCTGCTCTTTTGTCTCCCAGGAACTCTGTCCCTTTCCTCTCTTGCCTTGGTTCAGCGAGGGAGAGGGATGAAACAACTTTTTCTCTCTGGCCCTAGGACAGCTGACCCCAGGGCCTAAATAACCCCATCACCCAGCTGCCAACGGCCAGAGACCTGCTTCGACCTTGTCTTTTGACGAACCGACCTTTGGGGGAGTCTGTTCACCGCTTCTTTCTCCCTGATCTTGCACTGGGGTAGATAGATTCTCCTAATCCTGTATAGACCACAGGGCCATTCTCTGTTCTTGGGGATCCCATCCCCCACTCTTGGCTGTCCTGTCCAGATCCTTGGAGCAGCTGCCAACTTTGGGGCCAAAACAGGGAGCCTGGGATCCAGGGACTGAGGACAGAGGTCTGCTGGGAGGTGGGGGCAGTCAGGAAGACTGCCTTTGGGGGCTGCGGCCTAGCTTTAGCCAAGAAGTGGGAAGGATAGGGGAGAGGGTACCTCCAGTCAGGTCAGAGCCGGATGCCAAGTACCCAGCCAGAGGCCTAGACCTGGTGAAAGTGGAGGAGAGAGCCTCAAGCCTCCTGAGTGTGGAAAGGGCAGGCCTGACCACAGGGCCCTGATCTCTCCCCTGCTCTGCGTTTGGGCCTCTGCAAGTGGAGACCTGCTGGTGATGGGGCAGGGCAGGCAGTAAGCTGGACAGTAGCCTAAACACCAAGACCTGCTCCTCTTCAACCACAGTCTTCTTGGGGACATGAGCTTCGGGGGGGCTAAGATCTAGTGAGCCCAAACATGGCAGGACCCTCAAACAGCAGGCTCAGAGTGACTCAAGGACCAAAGGCAGGAGGAGCCTACCCCTTCCGCCACAGCTGGTGTTCCTGGATGCCCCATACCACACGGTCTCTCTCTCTACCTCCAGTCCTGGTTATCCCACCCTGGAGCTGAGGAAACGCTTGCAGCCAGGATCTTCACAGGGTAATGGCAAGGGAAGGGGGCAGTCCCTGAAGAGATGGTAGGTAGCCAGCCCCAGGGTGATGTTGCTCATTTATGGGAAAAATCAGTTGTGTAAGAGCTGCTGGCAGCGGCTCTGAGGGGGTGTGCGGAGCGTATGTGTGTGTGAAAGGGGAAGAGAGTGTGAGGAGTTCAGGGGCCTGTGGAGGGAAGCGTGGCTGACCAGCAGTCTGCCTTTATGGGACTCTGGGGTTGGTGACAGGGCAGAGAGGTGTCTTCCTTCCCTCTTCAGCCTATAGTGGCTTTTGGAAGAGAAGTGACTCAAAACTGCCTGGTATGACTCTCCCAGCTGGTCTCGGGGTGGAGTTTGAACGACCTGAGAGGTCTTCATAACTCCAATTCCTGGAACTCGGGGTTCCACGGAAGGCAGAAGTGGGCTCAGTTCTTCTGAGGGGCTCTGCACCAGGGGTCCCACATCAGCAAAACAGAGCAAGAAGCTTCCCCCTCCCCCAGATGACCAGGATCTCACCTGGGTACCAGCAACCTCCTCCTTCTTAGCATGTGGCTTCAGTAGCATCAAGTTTAAACTTGGTACAGGTGCTCCAGATACCCCACAGCCCCTTCTTTTTGCACTGGGAGCCCAACTATACCCAATTGCCTATGTTACCCCACCTCCACCCCAAGGCGGAATCCTAAGGTTTACTTAGTCATCTCTTAAAAGTGGCCCTTGATTTCCAGCCCCAAGTTGTAGCCAGACTGTGGTGGCCCTGAAACGTCCGGGGACTTGACTCTTGTTCTAGAATGTAATCCAAGCCTCTGGTAGCCAGGAAGGAAGAACGAAACCCACAGTTCCACCGGGGCCTCTGAACTGCCCCCAGAGGGCAGTCATGGGGCTGAGAGGAGGAAGTAGCTTGTTGAACTGGAGTTCTGTGAGTGATACCAGTTCTCTCACATCCCATCTGGCCCTAAGATGAATGGGTGCTTTTCTCTGGGTGCAGTAGCCCTCTCCCCCTCCCACCCAAATGAACTCTGGCAATAGCAATTATTACCATTACACCATGCTAAATCCTTTCTGGGGGTGGCAGATGAGTGCGTGCTGAATGATGTCACGGGTGTCGTCTGCTGGCCAATGAGCACCCTGGATCTGGTCCTGTAAAGTTCTCACTATAGGTTGAGGAAGGGGAAGAAGAAGAGAAAATAGACTCTGGGTTTGTTCAGTCTCGAAATGAACGACGCTCCCCCTAGTGGCGGACAAGAATAAAGCAGCCCCTGGGAGGCTTTGTTAGCCAGCACGACTTAGGTTCCTACTTTTACTCAGTGTTAAGCTCTTTGAGCAGGACCACACACAGCATCCCAGATTTAAACTCCATTAGCGAAGCCAGTGAAATCTCACCAAGAAGTGCAGATTCCAAGTTTCTGGATAGGGAGTGCTTCTCCTGGTCCTTGTCCAGACTCGGGAGCCACTCCAGACAGCCAGCTGCTTCTGTGGCATCCTTGGGATTTGGTACCACAGTTTCCTGCTGATACTGCAGAGACAGTGGACGAGTCTAGGCTCTACGTAGTTGGGTTTCTGATTAAGAGACCTTTTGTATCTTCCTTCATTGTGTAAAAGGTAACTCCCAGGATTGTTCTAAACCCAGACTGAAGTGGAATACAAAGGTGTCCCTAGTCAGAAGTCCAACACACCTAGTGAATTGAACAAATCAGCTGACACCTCAGTATGTCCATTCTCCTGAAATGTGTCCTTTTCCTGCACCCACCAGGAGGGAGTGAGGAGGCCAGCCTGGGGCTCCTCACATGGGCATTGCTCCTCAGCTCTAGGGGAGCCACATCTGAATAAGTGTGAGCTGCACAGCAAAGGTAACCACTGACTTAACAGTCAAATAGGCGGTCCTGGCGGTGAGCAGCGGAGGGTGAGGATAAGGGTCGAGGATGACTGACGTCTGTCATGTGTGCTTCATAGAACCCGAGCCAGGCTCTGTGCCTGGGTTGACAGCCGAGGCTATTACAGTTAGTCCTCACGCTAGCACTGTGAGGAGGGTAAATTACTACTCAGACTTTTATTTTTCTTTGACGAGATAGGGTTTCTCTGAATAGCCCTGGCTGTCCTGGAACTCGTTCTGTAGACCAGGCTGGCCTTTAACTTTGAATTCCACCTATTTCTACCTCCCTGGTAATGGTATTAAGGGTGTGTGCCACCACTGCCCAGCAAATTATTACCCTTTTTAGGTCAGAAAAGTTTCTTTTGAAGATAGCCGTTTAGTGTGTATAAACCCAAGCATAATACACCATACTGGGGTGTATTGCTGTGTAATAAATTAGCTACCCAGCCACAAGAAGCTGTTACTTCTTGAAACACCTGTTTTTCCCCTGGGGAGGGGGAAGAGTCGTGAGTGTCGGATCATGGTATAAAGAGTCAGTCACACTGTGCCCAAGGAGGACTCCCCACATAGAGGTCTTGTACCTACACCCCAGGTCAAGAAAAATAGCCCTTCTGGCTCCACATGCTAACCTTGAGTTGGTTTTGTTAGCAGTGTAACTGCAGAGTTCTACAGGGAGGGCGCTCATGCCTCCTGATCAGGAGCCTGGGCACAAGAAAGGGAACATTGGGGACAATTCCCTGCCCTGTCACTGCCAGGTGCTCTCACCCAGGGCCTCTGCGGGCCCAGGGCCATGGGCTGGCTGCCTCTTCGGCGCTATGAATATCACAGAGGGGCGCTAACAAGGTTATTGGACAGAGAAACAGTCTCCTGTGGCCCATATGGGAGAGACCTACAGCAGAGCAGGAGGCAAGGAGGCTGGCTCTGTCACACCAGTTGGGCGGATAGAGAAGACACAGGCAGGGCTTGGCCAGCAAGAGTTGGGTGAGACCCCATAATATACGGCCCTCAAGGTGAACGTGGTGAATGGCGAAGGGAAGGAAGCCAAGGAGAGAGACAGACAGACGGCCAGGCCTACCCAGTGTTCCTGGGATTGAGTCCAGGTGGGAGGGGACGCGTGCACGGTTGGCTGATCTGTGGAGTAGCTAAGAACAGTAGAGATTTAGTGCTGAGGCGCCGTGCCCCCCCCCCCCCCCCACTGAACAACCCTCACAGTGACACATTGCTGCAGGGAACACTGCACTGAAAGAAGGGAGGAGCCTAGGTTGCCCTGAGCATTGCACGTTCTGCCCAGTGGTCTCATTACGATCTAAAGTACGACTCTCCTGCCCCTCTAATGCTCTCTGCCCTCTGTCCCCACTGGATTTGTCGGGGTCTTGTTCCAACTAGAGGTCGTACGCTGGAAAGTGGGCCCCGTTTCACAACTGCTACTCGACTGAGTGATGACACTGTCTCCTCTTTAGTTTGTGAGCCCAAGGCAGGGGCAAGGGCAGGATCAACTTGACAGGTCCCAGGTCTCCTTCCATCCATAAGGTCATCTTCCGTGGTTGATATTCATGTTAAACAGGCATCACATTCAATGCATGCATGTTAGCAGTTGGCAGACCCACAATTACTGGATCGTAGTCAAGAAGCCCCTTAGGGAATGAATCATTCAGTAGGAAATAGGTTTCGGGTCCCAAGTTGCCCTTATTAACTGAGATGAATCTGTTGTATTTAACTCCTTGGAAAGTAAACATTAGTCTTTGGTGTCTGAGTCAAGTTCTGTCCTCTGTTCTGATGTTCTGAAGATCCTTAACATAGGGTGAGAAGTTGAGAATTAAGTGAATTTGAGCTACCTCACCTCATCTACATTACTGCTTCTGTAGTTAGCTGACATGCACACATGGGAGCACTTACTTACACACACTTAGGATTGTTTTGCCCGCGTATATGTATGTATACCGTGTACACGCCCGGTGCCTGTGGAAGTCAGAAGAGGATATCAGATCCCTTGCGACTGGAGCTACAGACAGTCCGTGTGGGTGCTGAAATCGAACTTGGCTCCTCTGCAGAAGCCATAAGCTGAGTCGACTCTCCAGCTCCTCTGTGGTGTTTTTTTTACGCTTAGCCGGGGAGAGACCTATTCCTAATAATAAGATCCTACTGGGGATATCACTCTTCACAAAAATTCTCATGACTCCCCTATCTCCCTGTACTTGGTCCTCCTTCCTTCAAACATTGAAAACCCATAGTTATCCCACCTGTAGGGTGGATGGAATATTGTTTGTACATTTGCATGGCCTCTTTGACTCTGTTTCACCATCACCCATGGAGAATACCACATTTGATTCACCTCCCTGGCCCTGCCAGGGCAAAGAACCTGGTACCTGCCATGTATTGACTTCTTGGACAATTGTAGGGCATAGACGCCTCAGGACGCGGGGCCCTTGGTGACTTGTTGTATACACTCAGATAATTGCCCTTCCCTTCTTGCCTCAGTTTCTCTTTTTCTCTTGTTTAAGGCTGAGAATATTCATAGTTGGCAAAAGAGGTTCCTGTGGAAGGAGTCGAGGGAGAAAGTGGTGCGGGAGCCAGGGATGCTAGGGCAGCAGTCCCATGCCTTCTGGCAACCGCGCAGCTGCAGCCTGGCAAGCTCTGGGTCCCATTTTGCTTCTGGGCTTAACTCATAGCCCCTCTCTCTTTACAGACTTCAAGTTTGCCATGTACCCACCATCGATGATCGCCACTGGAAGTGTGGGAGCCGCCATCTGTGGGCTTCAGCAGGATGAAGAAGTGAACACACTCACCTGTGATGCGCTGACCGAGCTGCTGGCCAAAATCACCCACACTGATGTGGTAGGTACCTGCCACCTTGGCCAAAACCAGATGTCTCTCCCAAAGTTCCGGGAAAGGTGGTTGGTTTATGGTAGCGGTTCAAAGGGGTTTGGGGGTTGTGTTGTTGTTGTTTTGTTTTGTTTTTTGTTTTCTGTTTGTCTTTGAGGGTCAGCATTTAAGGTGGTGTAAGCTCCAGCGGTGTGACACCTCCCCCTCAATGTGTGCGTGTTACTGGGGATTGGGCTCTGGGCATACCAGGCAGTCCCTCTATCACTGAGTTACATCATCATTTTATTGAGAGACAGTCTCATAAAGTTGCCAAGGCTGACCTTGAACTTGTGATCCTCTTGCCTCTGCCTCCCTGGTAGCTGGGATTACAGGTGTGCACCGCTACCTCCTGCTTCCTTTTGTGGGCTTAAAACCTACATGCACTTTAAAATCCAGACAGACCTTAGCAGGCTGATGGGAGGGGGAGGGCTGTTGACTACTTTTCCTCTGTGGTGTGGGGTTCATGTCCATTTATGTACACGTTGTCAGGCCTCTGCTCTGCCATGGAGAGGCTCCAGTTCTGCTACTCCCCTCTGAGGCGGTAAGGCTCAACGAGGGGACAGCTAAAGTTGGCTGGGCAGTGGCTGCCGTGGAGGGAGCAGATTCAAGAGGTGGCCTTGTGTGCGTGATGTCAGGCTTTTCCACCATCCTGTCTCAGGCTTTCCTTTGGATCAAAGTTGTGATGAATGACAAGGCACACAGAGACCAAGCGCAATACAAATTTGAGAAACTATTATTAGCTTTAGACTTTTTCCATTCTGTGTGGATAGCCCCAAGTCTGCTGTCGGCTGCCAGAATTCAGAGCTCTTAAACAAGAGAGGGCTTTGAGACGGACTGAGATTCCATAAGGTCCTGATTTTACCGCCTAGGACATAACAGTTGGGAAGGACTCCATCTGGGATGGCGCGCAGAGCCCAGATAGACAGTTACCTGCATTTTCACCAGGCAGCAGAGGGGGTAAAGGAGGCAACCTAGAGGCAAGACAGGTAGTAGCAGAGCAGGGACTCAATGCCTCTGAGCTCCGACTCCAGCCTGGAAACTCTTCGCTGCTGTGGCTCCTGGGAACTTGGTATTTGCAAAAGGCATTTAGTTGAAAGGCCAAGGAGAGAGACGAGTGTTGCTGGCTCTCAGGTCCTGGTGCTTCACCATGGAGAGGCTCAAGAATGAGAGTGCCCTGTGAGGGAATTTACTGGGTTCTAGGGCCATGTCATGTGATCATGTGATACACAGGCCTGTGGCTGGTGTCTCCCCAAGGTATGCTGAGCAGCGGTTGTTTAAACCCGGGGAGCTCAAGGCCTTCCGTCAATTTCCCTGTATTCGGATTTGGCCTTGTCCGCTAGCTCAGAGAAGTAGTAGACCTTAAAGAGCTTGGTAGAACTAAGCCTGGGCTCTTCTCTGAACCGGTTTTTAGATGGACTGTATTAAATGTTGGTGCCAAAAATGTATGCTTTTCAGCAAGGGCTCCAGAATATAGATTGCAAAGTTCTCCATTTCCAACCCCAGCACAGGGTGAAGAATGCATCTATTATTCCCCAAGGGAAGTGTGTGTGTGGAGGGCCTTGTCCCTCTTCTTGCCTTTTCTTAATGTCTCCTGTTAAGGCTCCGTTTGTAGATAGGATGCTAGCTGGTTGCAAATAAGTCTTTCTTCAGTTTCTGAACACACACACACATACACACAAATGCCTATGACAGCAGTTTGACCCTTAGGTGTCTCCACATTTTCAACAGTTCAAGGCCTGCTCTGATTGGCTGACATTCCAGCAGGGCTCAGTGCTTTTGACTTTCTCTTGCCCCAGTCCTTACTGTTACAAATGAACAGAAACTGCTCATGTGGTCGACCACTGAGACTCTCTGTCTGGGTCCTGATTTACAGGACTGCACAGCAGCAACCAGCCTGTCATTTCCTCCTGGAGATGCCCCCTTCCCTCTCAGACACCATGCCGCAGTAAGGAAATCCAAGTCAGCCGCCAGATTGAGATAAATACAACTGGGTTCCCATCAGCTATTTCTTTTAACAACATTTTCAATTATGTTAGTGTGTGTGTGTGTGTGTGTGTGTGTGTGTACGTGTGTAACACAACTAAAACAATCCGCTCTGGATATTGGCTTTTCCATCATGCGGATGCTGGGAATTCATCTTGGGTTAGCAAGCTTGGTGCTGTCAACTTTACCTGCTGAGTCATCTCACTGTCTCTGGCACTTCATTTCTGCAAGGGACCCGTGTTTTGTCTTAATTTGGGGTGTAGGTGATGCTTGATTCTCACAGTTCACCCAAGAATAGACCTTGCAGCATTAAAACCTAGGCGTTGACATAGGAACTAGCCAGCTTGACCTCACTTGTCCAGGTAAATGGCTGTGACTCAGTAAGTTCCACGGGTACCGCTGACGCCCCTGAAGCTCACTCATTGCTTCCCGGAAGTGTTCTCAGTGGAAAGTTTTGTTGTTCCTGCAGCTCCCCAGGTGCTGAAAGTCCCCCCCCCCTCCATCAGCACGTGTTCTCTGAGGAACTGAATTCCAGAGCGAAGGCCAATACGGCTTCCATTTAGAATGCCCTGGTGTTCAGAGGGAGAATTCTGCTTTCCCGGGTTCTGTTCACCGTTTTTGGGAATGAAGAAGTGGTGTGTTTGGATCACGCCTCCCCATTCATTTCTGGAAGCACTGAGCATGCCCAGCTGCTGCAGACCACTGCATTAGAGAGTAGTCCCCAGGCACAGTGCTAGAAGCTGGACTAGGCAGACGGAGCATAGAAAATAACTTGGGGATCAATCGAGAAATATAAAATAAGGGCTGGGGCGATTTTACTGCTTAAGAGCACTAACCGCTCTTTCGGAGTCCCCGGATTTGATTCCCAGCTCCCATGTGAGAGCTCACAATGGTCTGTAATTCCAGACACAGGCGGGCACAACTCTAGTGCACATAAAATAGATTAACTACATTTTAAAAAAGAAAAGTAAAGCCTGGAGTGGCCTGACAAGATCATGGATTAACAAATGCTAGCGTGTTCTGAACTTGAAACAAGACAGGGCATTCCTTTAAGTGAAGGACCTCATGAGGCTGATTGTAATTTGAGCAGAATAAAGTTTGGAAAACAGGGCCTTGAGCTAGAGAAACAAAATGTGATACGACCATGTGATGGGATACTGTATAGTCTTTCAAACATCAGCAGAGGCTTAAGCTGAAAAACACTGTGCTGAGTAAGGTAAGCCAGATCGGGCTGTCTAAGAAGCAACTGGAGAGGTCAAATTCATAGAAACAAAAAGTGTAACTGAGGTTCCCAGGACCAGGGAGGAGGAAGGAAAGGGAAGTCCATAGTAAACGCATATATAGCTCAGGTTGAGATGAGTATCCTGGGCATAACCCACAGTACAGATGTACAAAGCACTAAAATATGATAAAAATGGTTGATATGTCATAATACTTTGTATTTATATATACATATATAGATATGTAGATATATACACACGGATTATATATATCTATATAGATATATAGACATATGCATTATGTATACAAATACATATGAAACATCCTGGACCACCCTTGCGAGATGCCAGTGGATGTTTTGGGCTGTCCCATGGATACGTTAAACCAACACTCAGGATCACATTTGCCGCCTTGTGGCAGAGAGCTGACCAAAGTTCCTGAGTTCCAGTCTCTTCAGAGCCACCGTGTTCGACTCTCACTTTTAAGTGGATGGTCTGAGAACAAGGGTGGAAGTGGGTCCTCTTGACTCATCTGCCACCCGTGGACTGCATTCCACGGCTCTGTGGCAGCAGATAGCTGGGATTGAAGGGACCCACGCGGCTCTGAGAAAGTGGGTCTTTGTTTTCCCATCTTGTTGCCAAAATAAACCAGAATGCTCCATTCCAAAGAGAAATTTGAGTGAGAGGCCTGACAGTTTTACAGGAGGGGAAGTCTCAGAGGGTAGTGTATTTTCAGTACTTCTTACTTCCAGCTACAAGTTAAGAGTTGCTAAAAACAGACCCTAGCCAGGAAAGCAGGCTGGCTCTTGGGGAACTTCTTACCTACCCAGGCTTCCGTTGCCAAGGTGAGTTTGAGAGCAGGGATCAACCGTCCCAGACCCCTGCAGAATTGGGTTCCTTTTCCGTCCCCTCCACAGTGTGACAGTGCGTTGGTCCAGCATTTACCTCACTGTTAAGTTGACCGTAGGGCCTCTTGAATAAGATCCAACTAGACTTGGCTTTTTATCCCAAGCCTCTGGCAGTCATCGGGTAGTAAGACTGGAGGGAGAGAGGGAGGGAGGGAGGGAGGGAAGAAGGAAGGAAGGAAGGAAGGAAGGAAGGAAGGAAGGAGCGAAGGGCAGGCAGATGGGTTTCAAGTGTGCCTCTCATTCATTCAGAACTTTTGGAAGCATGTATCATCTATCTGTATCTACCTGTCTGTCTATTCATACATGATTACGTGTCAGAAGATTTATCTTGGTGCACGTCACTTAACCTTCACTCTCAACCACACACTTAACGAATTACATGGAACTTCTGGTTGATATGGGACTCGGTGGTAGAATGCTTGCCTAGCACATGCAAGGCTCTGGGTTCAATTCCCAGCATTTCCAGGAGGAAAAAGAATTGAATTGAGGTTTTCATGCTCTAAAGATATGAGAACATTTCTAGAAGATATTTAATAAACCAAATGCAGGCTCTAGTCAGACAGCTAGTTCGATCTGGGTTACGTCAGAACTTCTTGCCATGCTCCCAAGAACTGCCCAGAGTAGATTCTAGAATGTTCTTCCCTTAGGCTCATCTTGGCTTTTTATGATACTGCTTATCAGTGAGGAATTAGAAAACTAATAACTTCAGGAAATACGGCTTGTTTTGGACCCCAAGTTTTCTGTGAGGTCCCTAGCATCTCTTCTGCTTCCCCTAAGCTTGAGACTTGCTGTTTTCTCAAGTCATCCCTGTGATCCTTTAGTGGGCTTTACCGGGTCAGCAATTCTGGGAAGCTTGGTTGGAAGGCAACAGGGCTAGGGGGTGGGGGAGGTGGGCTAGAGCAGGGGGCTGCCTGCCTCCCTCCCTCCTCATTTCTTGTCAGTCTCATTTGGTATGCAAGGAAACAAGCCAAACAGCCTGTGAAGAAAGGAAGAATGAGATAGTTTCCTAAGTTGTCTCTGCCTGAGTTGGCTGCAGGTCTGGGGCTCATTCAGCCCTTTGTCCCCCTGTTGAGTGCAGTGCGTGTGTAGGGAAAATGGACTGATGCAGTTACACTGAGGGCTAATGGTTGGAGTTCCGTGGCCCATTCATGCAGGCGGTGGAGGGTGCAGGGCAGGGAGCTCGAGCCAGCAAGTGGAGGAAGTCGGAGACCGAGTAACGAGCTGGAGATCACAGCCGCTGCTGTCAGGGCTCTGAGGCTTGGGGGCCGGGCAGTGCAGGGAGGGGGGCCGTCATCAGAGGAGTTGGAGGGGTGCCCGACCTCCAGCGCAGTGGAGTGCCACCTGTCCGGCTGACAGACTAGCATTAGAGCTTTCCTTTTAATCAGCTTAATTTGGGGCATCTTAACACGGTGCCTGCTGCTTTGGGAGGCTGTCGCAGAGCTGAGGCCCTTGAGTTCTCGCTTGTCACAGGGATGTAGCATCTTTTCATGGGGGCACTGTTGTCATCACCCCTACACACACACACACACACACACACACACACACACACACACTCGGCCTGGGTCTTCCTTTCTGGAGAATCTCTGTCCATTATACCCTTCATTACATCTTGAAATAAGCAGACAACTTGCAGAGAAAGTTCTCAAACTGGCGACTTGCGTGGATTTTCTGTTGTCATTCAGGGACAAGCAACTCCCATTCCCCAAGCCTGTTCCCAGTTTGGTCTCTGCAGGCCTCTTACGTCTCCAAATTTGCTGATATTCTGATTATTTATTAAGATATCATTTGTGAGCCCTGTCCGTTTGGAATTGCTCCGAACTCCATACTTCTCTCCCGAGGCCTCCTGGCGCAAGCTATGTGGCTGGGTTGGGGGCAGGGCTCTTCCATCTTCTAAGTCGCCGCCTGTAGCTTATTCTTCTGCTCATTGTAAGTCATGACTCCCCTGCAATGGCGTCTTCACTTTCTGCCAGCTCATAGGAAGTTCATTTGCCCTGTTGGGCCCTAGAAGGGCTCCCACAGAGCTATGTGGGAGGAGGATGCTACTATACTAGGATTTATTGACGTTGAAAGGGTACCGTGCAGATTTCTCCACCAGCAGTAAGTGGTGTGTTCCCCATGGTTCAGGCAGTGCAGGCTTTTGAGATTTCTACCTGCCTGAGCCAGGACTGAGGGGCCCTAGATAAAAGTAGAACAAATTGTCCAGCAAAAACTCCAGATGGGTTTAACAGTCTACTGTGAGCAGCAGGTAGAGTTCCAGCCATGTTTCCTAGGCTGACATTAGCCCTTGTTCTCTTCTCCAAGTGAGAGGGATCACAGGTCAAGGGTCATCCAGAGTCAGTAATGAACTGGCTTTCAAGTAACATCAGAAAGGAGAGTGTACATTTTTTATAGAAATCTTTGCATCTCCCTCTGTTGCTTAGACTAGCCTGTGAACCTGCCCTTGGTGGGCACGTGCCACTTGCATCATTCTGAGCCTTCGGCTCTCCAAGTCCAGTGGAAATGACTGCCAGATGTCCTGTCTTCCCTAGAGGGGTTTCTTAGCACTGTCCCTTTAAAGTCTTGGACTACTCGACGGGAAGGCTTGCTAGCAGGAAGAGTCAGGAAACGGCAAATCCTACAGTCAAGTCCTTAAGCTCTCTGCAGGCTGATCTCCTCAGAGGACCATCTGGCATGATTCATACACTGGTACCATGGAGATGTACATTGGTCATGACGATGGGCCGGATGTGCCAAGTCAGATGATCTTGCCACAGATCAGGGCGAGAAACGTTAGATCCTTGGCATATGAGACCCTCGTTTGGCACTGATGAAATTGCCTTGGTGATCCCCAGGGCTGGACCACACCATCTCTAGGACCAGACTTGTGGCACATCCTTGTCTTAAATAATTGCTAATCCTTGCCTTCCTTTAAAGACATCTAAGATGGCCATGTTTGTGTGCCTGCAGTCCTGGATACTCCGGAGGCTGAGGCAGGAGGATCACTTGGTTGAAGCCAGCCTGAGAAACATCCAATCTCAAAGTCCAAAGGACTCTTTCAGATTCCGGGACAGATAAAAAAAAAACATACCACACTCACATAATAAACCGTGTTCATGTATCGGTCTACTACTTAGCAGTTCGTCTTTCTAGGCAGAGAAAGAGAGATGGGAGTCACGAATGAAACTGTGCCCTGCTAGTGGGGACCGAGCAGCAAACACCGTCCTCCTTTTTCCCAGCATTCTTAGATTCGGGGAAGCATTTCACCTCTGCCCCCTGCCCTTGGTCGGCTGTCACTCCTCATCTTCAAGCTGCAGTTTGAAACATGGAACAGATGAGAGATAGGAAAGAAGAAATTGGAGGTGGGAGGGAACGGAAAATTGGCTCCTTGGTAGTTAATGCCAACTTTATTTTAGGTCTTTGGAAAATAAAGATAATGCCTTTGTGCTTGGAAAAATAGCAATCTCTAGGTGGTGAGATCTGCACCAAGAAATAAACAGGGGAAGTATGTATCAAACTGTGGGCAGGCAGGGGAAGATTCAGTTGGGCACAGTTTCTGTGTGCACAGGCTGCTGCGGAGCGCAGGGGGGCAGACCCAACAGGCGAAGGGGAAAAGTCCCTACGAAGAAGAGTTTCCTTGGCTCCAGCCTCCTAGCCTGAGCCCTAGTCCCATCCCAGTGACAGCGGGACTTGCCCTCGCATTCCATGTCTCCCAGCTAATAGAAGCTTCTGCCTGGGGCAGCTTGCTCTGGATTTTCCCTACCAAATATAGACTAATAAAGGCAACAGTGCAAATTCTTGCTTATTCCCCAATTGGACAAGCCCGAGTGTCCTGAGGTTTGTAAACACTCTACATTGTGTTTGTGAAAGGAGTTCCAGGGTGGTAGAGGAGCAGAAAATGCAGGGGGTTTCAGTTTCTGACACTTTAAGCAGTTAAGCATCCCCCCCTTGTTACCTATTCATTGGCTGCTGGCTTGGCTAACAGTGTAGCATCCTGTGGGAACCAAATTCTGTGCCACCTCCTACCGTTCCCAGACAGAAAACCTCCAGTTGGTCCCTTGTCCAGGCAAGGGATTTTTGTTTTTAAAGCTGGATCACCTTCTGGTCTGTGGTTTAGAAGAGGAAATGCCTGGGTTTCAGCTGAAATGGCAGCTCCTATTGGCTCAATCTGGGATGGACTTGTAGCTGCCATGTGGGGCTAACGTTGCCAGCTCGTGGACGCCACTTCATGCGCTAAGCTTCCGTGGCCTTTGAGAACATCCCTTCTTCATATGTCCTTCTTCAGGAAAATGCGTATGGGGTGATGTGAGTTGGACAGTGTCTGTCTCTGGGAGAGGTTCTGTGCAAGTAAATATGCTAATGGCTCTTCCGGTCTGGACCTCCCTCCTCTAGGATTGTCTCAGAGCCTGCCAGGAGCAAATTGAGGCTGTGCTGCTCAACAGCCTGCAGCAGTTCCGTCAAGAGCAGCAGCATAACAACGGATCCAAGTCTGTGGATGATCTGGACCAAGCCACCACCCCTACAGACGTTCGGGATGTTGACCTGTGAGGACGCCGTTCGGGCCCCTGCAAGAGAGAGGCGTGTTCATCATCTGCTCGCTCCTTCTCTCTCTAGTTATACTTTGTTCTTTGTGTTTTAGGATGAAACTTAAAAAAAAAAATCTGCCCCCACCTAGATCGTATTTAAAGATCTTTTAGAAGTGAGAGGAAAAGGCCCTATAATTGAAACGCATGTGGTGCCTGTTCAAAGTACAGCAATAAGGGGATCCCTTGTCTAAGCGAACAGTTGTTGTTTGATGATGGAAAAGTCATAGTAAGATGCTTACAGGAGAATGCGCAGGCTAGCTCGATTGCATACACCTGCAATATTGGAACCAGTTAGAGGAAACTGTCTTTTGCTTGTGAACTAGTACATATGCCCCTTTTAGTAGAATTGCAAGGAGCCGTGGATGCCAGAAAGGCATGCAGGATTAGATTGCAAAGCAATGAGCGCAAGAAGGAATCAGAAGCAAGAAGGGACGCGCTGGGGAGGTTGCACAGAACTACCTGTCCACATGGCTGAACCATTTTGGATGTAAGAAGCGCCTTTGACGCCTCACCATGTGTCACCAAGACTTAGCATGGCGGGGTCTCTCCGTTGCATTCTCTCGCTGTCTACAGTAGCTGCTATCTAAGGGATATGTCTTTTGCCAGTCGGACACAGGTGATTGGCTCCTAAGTCTCGTATTTGGTGAGTTTGTGCTTCTTCCTCCAAACATGGTTCATTGCAGATGTACCTACTGCTATCTAATGGGGGGAACTAACTATGGGCCATGACCAAAACTCATCTAAATGGGGGCAGATGGAGAGCACAAGTGGATCTGAAACAAAGCTATCCTATGTAACGGAAGAGGGCGAGGCGATCTGTAATCCCTTATTAGGAAAACAACAGTTTAGCTTCTGGTGCTGACTGGCATGTCTGGTCCACAGTTTAACGTTGTTATAAACCATTCCATTAGAAAAGCACTTTGAAAAATTGTTCTGGGGTGGTGGGGGGAGGTGGGTAGATGGGATGGTTTATGCAATCATGTTGAATACTCCTTCCTTCTTTGCCCCTCCCCTCCCTGTCCCCTTCCTATTATTCACTTCTGGAGTCTAATGTTCTGGTACATAACTCTGGTGTCCCTACCAGGACTAAGAGATCCTTCCGCTGACATTCCCATCCCAGCCTAAAAACAAAGGTTTAAACCATTCTGGTGGCATAGAAGGACTGGATCCCCATCTGAAATTTTCTTCTTTGGACATGAAAAGAAACATCAGGGTGCGGCATTTTGTTACCTTTTCTGTTTTTGGGTTGTTCTTTTTTTTTCTGTTTGTTTGTTTAATTTTACTGCAAAGTTGTATTCATCGTACTTGAATTGTTCCTCTCCTACTTCTTTGAGGCAATCAGCAAATGGAAGTTGGAGTCACGGTTGTCAATTGACAGGTAATGAAGCTATTTGTTAAAATATTTGCCTTTTTTTTTTTTTAAGATAAAAGATCAGAACAGGGCTGCTTTGAAGAAAGAATTTCATGCACAGGCTCTGCCTTGTTTCCTAGTGTGAGGGTTGAAGATGGAGAAACAGCTAAGGGTCTCTTATCTTTTGTTTTCTTTTGTTCTGTTTATTATTATTTTTCGCTGCTAAGCTGAGATCATCCATCCTTATTCACATTAACAGGACCTAGCTGTAATGTTTTCACGGTGTGCTGCTATTTTAGAAACATTGTTATAATATATTATTTTACTGCTTAGATTTCAAGTCCCGGAGCGGATGGTTGAGATGAGTTCTTTGTGCTGGAAAGGCTTTCCTCAGTTATTTCCTTCAGGTAGCATAGCATGGTTATACTTCATCCGTTTGGTTTCTCTCCTTTCCTTTCATGGATCTCCCCCGCCCCCATCACATTCTTCAAAGAGAGTATTCTTTACCTCAGGTTTACTGGACAAAAATCAATAATGATAACAATGTACGTTTTTGTTTTCACGATACCTCGCAGCTATACAGTTTCTATTGGGAAGGCCGCTAGCAGGAGGCACGGGGCAGAGGGCAGGCGGAAGGCGGAAGCTGGGCATCCTCCTAGGTGGAAGGCAGAAGGGATCTGACCCTAGGGTCTCAGGCCCCGGGGATCTTCTGCCTCGAAGGTCACCAGGCTCCCCTTTGATAAAGCATGATAAAAGCATGCCAAAGGACTCCTCCACACGAGGCAGGCTTTCAGCAAACACAGGCAGTGGACGGGGCAGGCCTGATTTGCATGTAGTCCACCTGGATCAGCAATCAAAAATTCCAGCGGACAGTTAGGAGACACACACACCCATCTTGTAGCCCATCTGGAAACAGGTCTTTCTTCTTCATAGGGCCCCTTCATCATGAAAGTTGACCAGTTTAGTTCTCCTTGGCACTGATACCCCAACTTAGGATGGTCTTCCAAGTCTTCCTAGGACGGAGTCTGTGCTGTTCAGTCTGCAGCATCCATTTCTCACTCCCGTCCTCCACAGTGGCAGGCAAGTGCTGTGCAGGGCTAGGGTGTCTGTGGGCGGCATTGGATGGCTTCAGGTTTTGAGTCCCATTGAGTGGGTCAGATAGGAAGCATGGGTGGAATGAGTTTGGGGTGCACACCGAAAGGGAGCGAGAGGCCGTTCCTCCGGTCTCGAGTATATTTAGGAAGGATCAGGAGTTGGGGGGGTTAGCATGACCCTAAAATTCTAGGGAGTTTGTGGTGGAACCGTGGGTGACGAATTGGGAAGTGGAGGTGGGGGGGGGGGGGAGAGCAGCCTGCAGCTAGCCAGTGTTTATCCAGAGCTCACACTGCACAGCTCATACTCCTGATCTCTAAGAACCTGACAGACACAATCCCTTGAGTTCTTGTGCCTGATGAGTTACATAGGTCACACATGACCTTGGGGTTTAACAATACAGAATGAAGGAAAACGACCCAGCAGAGAAGAAACAGGCTACTGTCGGCCCCTCCAGCCCTCTCATCTGGGATGGAGAGGACACTTCCTGTCTGCCGTCCTCCGAGCCTGTCTGATGAAGGGTGCAGAGTGCCTGTTCTTTGCTTACACAAGGTGGGGAGCCTTGATTCCTTGGTGATCGATGCCCTCTGCTTAAATCTGGGTCTCCTTGGTCGTATTTTTGTCCCAAAGGGGTATAAATCACCCTGTGGGGTTTCAGCTTGCTCCCTCACCCCCTTCACGTCCTTCAAAAGGGATTGCAGACTCTGATCTTTTTCTGCCTTGATAACAAACTCTTCTTTGTTTTTTTTTTCTTGTTGTTTGTTCTTTCTCCATCTGTGGGGGCCAAGTAACCCCAGCTTGCCAAATTTTGATCCTTCCCTGTTTTGACCAAATCCTAGTGGGGAGGAAACCCTAGTATGCCAAAAATAATGTGCTAAGCATTAGGAGATTCATAACAGTTCCTAATAGCCAGGCAGCCTGCAAGAGGACAAAGGCTGACCATCCATCGAGGAGTGAGCTCCTTCTAGAAGAGGACAGCTTTTAGGGGTTGCTTTGGTGTGCACTGTCCCCAGGACACCAGGGAAGTGCAGGGCACATCTTGGAGGCAGTTAATCTTAAAGTGTGTGCCAACCAAGACACCTCTCTAGCAGCTCCCCGGGCTAGGGGTATATGGAGCTGCCCTGGACCCCATCCTGTTGCTAGCAGGATAAGTGACCCCTCAGAGGGATTTTAATAGCTTTCTTATAGCCTAGCTATTGGGGATTTACCAATCTGTGCCTTGAGAGCTGTAGGACCAACAGACTTAAGACTGGACGGCTTTCACAAAGAGGGCAGATGAGCTTTCTCTGCATGGGCGGGCTATGAGGACAGGACTGGGAGGATCACACTTGTGCCTTATGTCCTGTAAATACTGATTTTCTAGTTCAAGAGGGTATCCTGGTGCTGTGGAAACTGGGAGTAGCAATGAGAAGTCTAAGTAAGCCAGCTGACTTCTAAGTTCGAAGGATTCCTCTTTGCCTATCTTAGACAGTCCAACCTTGGGAATAGCTTTAAAAGGGAAATGAATACCGAGACAGTGAAGTCCCCTTAAGTCAAGAAGCCCCTCCATAGGTATACTTTGCACACAGGCATTTCTCAGTGCAGACTCTGGGTGGTTCTGAGCAGCTGCTGCCCGCTCATCCATCTGGGTAGGAAGATCCAGGAGGTGTTGGGACTTCCTTACCCCACGTGGCCTTCGATGGTTCTTGAGTCTAAACAACACAGAAGAGGTGCTCCAGCCAGAACCTGTGCCCCTCTGCTTTTAACCTTGACGGGAATAGCAGAGACATTCTTGGCTCTAGTTGTAAGAAGCCATCAACAAACACACACCTGATGGAGCTGCAGATCATGGCTTTGCCTGCAGCCTACTTGTGGGGGAGAAGTGCCTTACCGTAGCCAGTACAGTAGCCACTTGATTTCAACAGGTGCCTATCTTTGACAAAAAAAAAAAAAAATGAAAAAAATTAAAAGGGTCTCTTAATTTTTATTGGCTGTCATTCTTCGCTGATCATCTTGTATGTCCCCAGTAAGTCACCAGGCCATCAAATTGTCTCCCTTATGTTTATTCTCCTTCTGCCATGTACCTCAGATCTATCAGTTATGATCTCTTGTCTTAGATTATTTTTTTTTCTTTTTTTAATTTGCTTTAAGAGTGTGATACCATATCATATCGATGTTATTCTCTCACAGTGTACTCTATAACAGGTGTGGGTGGGTTTTATGGTTGGGATGCTAGACAATGCTAAAGTAGCATGATCAGTGTGGGGGGAAAAATTAAGGTCTTTAGGAAACCCGGGGGGAACGTTGTGTCAGCTACAATGGTGACGTGACACAGTCAGCTGTTAAGTTCTAAGTGATCTTTAAAAAGCAACTTGTTCTTCCGATGAGTGTGAAGTCAGATTCGAGGATGGAGTTGTAAGTGGTTTTGGATGCAATTGGGTTATGCTATTTGGACAATAAACTCACCTTGACCTAAAATGTCTGGCCATTGTTGACTTATTTCTGGACTGGTGATCCTCAGACTGGGCTACACCTGTCCTCAGTCAAAACTCTGCTGGCAACAGTTGCCAACAACATAAAGTACAAACCAGAAGTAAAACCACATCCATGTCTTTACAATTCAAGGAACTGTTGACTCCCGACCCCACCCTACTCTGGACCACGAATAAAGCCAGTTACAAGCAAAAATAGCCCAGTGTCTTCATGAGGTGGCTGAGTCACTCATGTTATGACTGGGCTTCCATGATATCCCCCTTGCTTTTGCCAAATACTCACTCTCTTGACTGCGAGTGAGTGCCTCACGGTGTGGGTGCCAGAAATCCATACACCATCTCCATATTTGGGGGTGTCTCAGGGATCCCCACCCTTAGCCAGGAAGTTCCCATACAATGCCTGACCCTCTCTGAATCTCTCAGGTGAGGCCTGGTTCTCAAATGCCCCGGTGAAGGCTGGTGAGGTAGGGCCTGGCAGATGGGATAGCCGGTTATCGCCTTAACACAGGCGATTGCCAGGTCCTGGTGTTCACCAGTCTCGGATGGCCTAGGAATGACGGGCATGAAGAACACAAAGCCTTAACAACTAATTTGATGTTACCATAGAAATACATTTCCCCTATCATTGTCTCCTCTTCCAGAGGAAGACTATTTCCCAGCTTCTTTCTGACCTAAGTCATAAATATTAAGATTAAAACATCATCGGACAAGTCCCGGTTAAGATGCTCCTTGCTGATGCCTAGAACCTCCATTTACGAGGGTCCTAGCCCAGATTTCACTGCTGGAACAAAAGACTTGAGTCTGGGTTCTGAAGAACAGAAAACCGGGACATCTGAGAATATGTGCTCACCATCGTGTGAGGGCTGCCTTCGCTGTTTCGCTGGTGTAGGGTACCACATGGTAAGACAGCAAGCATTTCAGTTCCAGCCTCTTGAAGAGCCCTACACTTGGGATTTAATTAGATCCCAAAATTTTCCCATAGGTTACATCTCCAAATACCATGAACCTATCAGTTGGGAATTAAGCTTTTGACCCATGAGTTTTACAGGGGCACACTGAACCCACAACATTGTGGCAGCTGCAAGGGTGCTACAAGTTCTCTTCTGTCCCGTTTCCCTTGACATCTACTCTTTCTAGAGATACAGGGGGTAATGGTTTTAGGTCTGTTGATCTGGGAGTTTCTGCGATCTTGTGTTAGCACCCATAACCATCCTCAGAATTCACTTCTGCGTGACCCATTCCTGGCGAGGTGAGTTCCCTGTCTCATTCTCCCATCTGCTGCACAGAGGTATTGGTGCCGTGTCTGCCAGTGATTCTTCTATGGGCCATACCGTAGCATCATTGACTATCTGCCAGTGACTCCCTATTCTATGGGCCATATCGTAGCATCATTGACTATCTGCCAGTGACTCCCTATTCTATGGGCCATATCGTAGCATCGCTGACTTTATTTCAGAGCCATGGGTGGTCAGAGAGACAAGAGCCAACAAAGCCAGTACGACATTCTTTAGAGAGCTTGGGAAGCCACCCACTACCACGAGCATGTCACATTGCTGCTGGGGAAGCCTCCCACTGCTGCCAACAAGGTCTCTGCAGCTTAGCAACTGAAAAACCTCAGACTTAAGGCCAAGGTGAAAACTAGAATCTCCCAATCTTACTAGCAAGTGCTCTTGCATTCTTTCTTTAAAAAACAAAATAATGTGTATGGGGATTTGTCTACACCAATACATGCAGTGCCTACTGCATGCAGAGGCCAGAAGAGGACATGTGATCTTCT